TATATATATATATATATATATAGATATAGATATTCTCATATGTGCTAGCCCTCCCTATAGGGATCAAACTCCGGGTCAAATTGGGTCTTATGACTGAAGACGCAACTACCTACCAACTTGCATCCTATACACACACACACACATGCACACAAGCACACGCTAAATGACTGATGAGCTAGCCATATACAGATATATATAAATATATTTGATGTGGAGACATATAAATTTCAAATAAACATATACTTATAAATTATTATACATGTTATCATAAGCATAATAATAATGAAGATTTCTTAAAACATACGACACTTCTCACTAATTCAATAATATTTTAATTATAATATATTTGAAAATTTATTAATTTGTCAATGATAAAATATAATGGAATTTAACATAATTAATTTATATTTAAGTATCTTTCATTTAGCACCCGTCTTATAAAGGATTTAGAGCGGGATTTAATTAAGCTGGATTTGACCTAAAGCTTGCCAAGTTTTCATTTGGGACAAAATAAAAGCTCAGTTTTGATAAAATTTGGCTTTCAAGGATTTCGCCTTTAAATCCTAATCGGTGGATTGAGTAAAATCGGGACGGACGGTTTGTGTAAAAAAAAGGCGTGATGTTATCATTTCTTAATGATTTTTGGGCAGAAGAGGAGCGAAATGAGGAGAAAAATGAGAGTTTCGGGTTACTGTAAGCCATGTTCCCGTCATTGCGTTTGTATTGCAAGGGTTTGGTCACGAAAAAGAAGGGTTTGGGCAAAACACAGAGAGACTGAGGGACATGCCGGGGTTTGGGGGAGAGAGAGAAGTGTTGTAGGGGAGTGTTTTAGTAATTTAATTTTATTTAAGTTAATTTTATTACTTTAATTGATTAATTATTAAATATTATTGGACTAATTATATGTAAATAAATCTATATTAATCATTTAATTAGTATTTAATAAATGATAAATATTAATCATTTACTCATTCTATGATTATAAGTAATTAACAATTAATATAATTAATAATGCATTGATTATTCTTGAATAAATATTAAATTTCTATTAATAATTAATTTAATAAAATTTGTATCACTAAATATATAATTATTAATTACCACAATTTGAAATAAAATAATAATTGAATTTAAAAAGCTAAAAGATTTTCATTATTTTTTTGGAATGTTTTAAGAATTCAAATTTACGTAATTTACAAAATTATATTATGATTTGTTAAAGTCTATTGGCCATAACTGATGTTTAAATCATCACATAAATTGCCAAATAATTTTATATCATTTATCACTCTTGCTAAACAATTTTTGGGATTTAATCTTTTTTTGGATTTACTAAATCGAATTTGTAAAATATATTAAATCATATTAACTTAAATATCACCTGTTGTCATACAACCCCTTAAACATTTATATTTATACTTATAACATTTTAATGTGATAAACTTATATATGAAAATGTGTATTTTATTTATTAAAAATAGTTGATAATGATATTTTTATGTGATATTTAATAATTGAGTATTATGCATATAAATTTTAATGTTTGTTAGAAACATAAATAATAAGAATTATGCGGTATGTATGTAAATATTCCTAAAATCTAATCTTAATTTACATTGTTTAAAATTAATTCAACATTTTTAAGATTATTTTTTTTTAATAAAAAAGTTTAAAATCTTTTTTTCACCATAAATTCTCCGTTGTCACGCGTCACCAATTACAAATAGGGGTGTAAACGACGCTCATTTATATTTCGAGCTCAAAAAGTGTGTTCATGTTCGGCTCGTTTAACAAAAGAGCCGAACACAAGCCGTTCACGAAAAAAAAGTCGTTTTGGCAACCCTATTCATATAGCCATAAGATTTTAAAGATTGAGACAAAATTTAATACATCATTTGAATCTAATTTAATAATTTTTATTCTATTTTTTTAATTAATACATTTAATTAATTATAAATTTTTGTAGTATTGTACTCAATTAAATTTTAAAAGTACTACTCATCAAACATATATGTATATATATGTATATATATGTATATATATGTATATATATATATATATATGTATGTATATATATACATATGTATGTATATACATATATATATATATATATGTATATACATATATATGTATATATATATATATACATATATACAT